TTTGTTGTCATTGCTTCTCCTTGCATAGCTAATATGTTTCCTTCCCGAACATGCACGTTGATATGATCAGGAGGTGCATCGAGCTTGACATAAATTCCTTCTTGGGAATTCACATAACTTGAGTAGTCAAAGAGGTTGAACCAATTCCCTGCTGGAAAATAGGCGTCAACAGAAACTGCTCCAGGCTCTAGTACAGGTGACACCAAAATCCCCTTACCGAGTAGAAACTGCGAGCTGATGTTGTAGGTGTTTTTATCCAGGGGAAACGAAAAGAAAATTGGTCGTGCTATAGGTATGCCTTTGCAGTGTGCCTCGTACATCAATGTGTAGAAGTAAGGCAATAGGCGGTAACGAAGTCCTAGAACTTTCCTGGCTGTTGTCCTGACTGATTTCCAGAGATATAGCTCTTGACGAATGGTATCCTTGTCCGAATGGTCTCTTGCAAAGGGATAGAATGCACCTAGCTACAGTTCAAAAAAATTTGAAATCAGTTGAATATCAGATGGAAAAAAAGCGCATGAACCCATGTAACCTATTTATCTCTTATCATTTACAAAAGAGGGAGAGGAAGAACAATAACCAATATGATATATTATATGTGAAGTTAATTCAAGAAATATTACATAAAAAGGAAGATCTGACAAAAGTCGCAAGATTAAAATCAAAAGGCGAAGTCAAATGTTTTTGACAAAACCATGTATTTAACCTGAATCCAGCGCTGGCAAAGTTCTTCAGTCGTGTTTCCAGAAAAACCACATATGTCGGCACCGACCATTGGAATTCCAAACAATCCAGAATTCAAGATGCTTGGTATTGTGTATGCCAAATCCCTCCAGGTGGCAGCATTGTCTCCAGTCCAGTGAGCCGTGTACTTTCCAGAACCCACAAAAGTAGATCTGCTTACTACAAATGGCCTTTTACCAGTTACATTGACTAAAGCTTCGTTAGTAGCTTTGGATTCCAAAAATCCATAGAGATTGTGTGCATCGTACTCTGTAATGTTGCTAAAATGTAGTGAAGTTGCAGGAATAGTTTCCTCACCAATGAGACGTTGAATTCCAGCATTATTGATCTTGTAGGGAGGATTATCAAGAGTAGAAGATGGATTGGGAGGTGAGGATATGAAATTAGATACCTCATTCATGTCAATCCAGAGGCCATCAACAGGAAGAAGTTCATGGAATTTTTTGATTTCATTACCCCAAAACATTCCAGTGGATGGGTTCAGAAAGTCTGGGAAGTAGGTTAATCCAGGCCAAACTTTGCCAAGGTAAGGAATACCATTACGCTTTATGAAGATGTCAGCTTGCATTCCTCTTGTATAAGTAGGATACGTCTTATTTACACTAATGCCTGTAGTTTAAGGAAACATGGTCAATAAGCAGGAACCGGACCCTTTTAACTATAGTCCAATATTCTTATGTCAATATTTATTTTATCAAAAATGTTGGTTGAAGCAGAGCTCGAAGATCAGAAGCATATATTGATTTGATTGGGAGCTTACCAGGATCTAGGATGACCACATATTTCTGACCATTCTGGTGAAGTGCATTGACAAATTTCTTCATCTCCTCCACGGGAAAATTAATGGGATCAAGAGTGAAATCTTTGTAGCCATCCATGTAATCAAT